GGAGAGCCCCGCGTAACAAAAAAAAAAAAAAAAAAAAAAAAAATCAAAGAATTTTCTATAGCAAATCACAAGAAAAGAGAGATGTTTCCCTTTATGCTGATACTGTTTTCTAAACAGTCAAAAACATCTCAAGAGACTCAATAAGGAAGTGGGAAAAGGTGATTTTGAAATATTATTTGAAAAGAAATAGGGTGAAATAATTGCTAGAGGGTGTCATAATGCGATAATCAACTTGTAAAGTTTCACTATTCTCTTGTGGCTAGAATGACATATTTAGAAGCATACCGGTTTAGTGTAATCTAAATCCATTTATATGCTTGAGTGTGTAGTCAGTGTATATTTCCTTTTTGCTGTCTTCATGATGTTTCAAATAATAGATTAATATTGACCTTATGGTGTAGTTCTATTTAGAAAATTGAGCTTGAACTATGGATAATTATGTGTATATATTTCTTACAATGTTTTAAGACACTGAATTAAAAAAAAAAAAAAAAACCTGCACAATTGAATTACTGTCAGCCCTGCAGAGCTGCTGATAAGCCAAGTTGTATAGTTTCATGAATTGCCAACTCAGTTATTAGACAGGTTCTGAATTCTAGAAGCATTATCCCACAAGATAAATGGACAAGTCAGAAATGACACAGCTTGATTTTAAGGTACCAGGTGGAGGTGGCAATACAATCTGGGGGAAATCTTGGTTTGATATATGAGTGCATTCACGTGATTTGGCAGTGGTTTTAGACACCATGGAGATGTCACGTGGCCGACCTTCCTGCTCTGTTCTCGGACTATACCACACTTGTGAAACAGTGAGGCTCATGGGGTAATAACTCAAAAGCCAAAAGGCTGTAAAGCAAAAAAGTTGCTAGCAGGCACTAACCTGGGTGTCATGACTCTTTTCAGGTAGTAGGTGTAACCTTGAAGAAAAAGTGGCACTGTCTTCAAAAAAGTGACCTGACCCTGGCTTTGGTGGGTTTTTCTGCAAGAAATAAAAAGCACCGCATGTGTTTATTATACATCCTTTCTAGCTGACCACTGCTTTGTTCTAGAGTTCAGCATGAAAGGACTAATTTTTGTTTTCTTTTGTTTTTGTTTTAGTGAAATGGCATGTCCGTTGCTAATTCTAGCTATTATAGTTGCACATGTGAAAAATACCTATACGTAGTTTATAGATTGGTAGCATTTCAAATAAATGGTATACTGAAATATTGACCTGAAATTTTTTGAGATGCTTATCAATTGATATTTTTTTTCTTAGCCCAAGAAGAGTCTGAATCATTATTTTTTAAATTTTACCTTGTAACATTAGATATGTTTTAAGAAATATATTAGGAATTTAAATATAAGCATGCCACTTTGTTTATTGCTATATTATTAAACCTCTTGGAGCATGGAAAGAATTCTTCACAAATGATTTTGCTCTTTTGAAAAAAATAAGCTGCAAAAATATTTGTTAAACTATATATAGTCTGTCAATGAGTGTAGCTTATAAAGGTATACTGAGCTTACAGTATGTAATGTTTTATCCAAATAATTTTTATATTTTGAAAAAATGTCAAATAGTTTGAGTGCCATAAATCTTTTCCCAGAATTCAGAACTGTATGTATCTCTATTTTAGGAAGATGACATTGCTTCATTAAAGGAAAAACCTGGATCATTATGCACTCCAATTTGTATGCAGTGAATCACTGTTGCCCTTTATTCTTCCAGAATTCAGTTAATCTAAGGATTGTGCCTATATAAACTTTCCAGAACACATAAGAAAATTACCACTGTTATATCTGATGAATAAAATCTCTAATAGTTGATTTTCTATCATAGAAATATCACATTATCATTCAATAATGCTAGTTTTAAAGTTACAAACCAAAGAAACAAACTTTCAGCATTGTAAAGAGATTCACACATTTTTAAATGTAGTAACTATACAGAAAGTTTTTCTTTGTTCCCATAAATAAAAGCTGCCACTCATTACATTTTACAAAGGCAATGCCTGAAAAAATGGACAATGTTCTGCTTCTTAGAGTCAACCTACCTTTTAAATACTTAAAGCCCTGTGCAAACCAAAGATGATAATATAATTCTATCCTCTTTAGTTGCATAGAGACTATCAAGATTTATTAACCTCTGGAGTTAATAGTGACCATAGCTCTTAATTCCCTTTCAGACAACGGACCCTCATATGTCCATTTTTGTTTCTTTGCCTATATCTCTGTGTGCTACATTTGTATTTTAAGTAGATTTACAACACAGATATTCACGTGTGCACTTAGTATAAGGTTGTTTTCTCCAGAGAGGCTCTGCCCAGAGACCAAAGAAAATGGAAGGTTTTGTTTTTGAAGTGTTTAAAGATTATTTAATTTTTACATAGTATGAGATGTTGCTAATTGGGTTGGGAAGGTGATATTTTGTTTTTTGGTTTTTTCCCTTATGCCCTATCTACTCTCAAAAACTTAATAATCTGGTAAACTAAAACCCCAGAAAACCAGCATACCCCTTTACAGTCCATAGTTATGCTTGTATGAGGCCAAAAAATTGTAGATATCAGTATATCATTGCCTCTATTATTAATCATCCTTTATTTACACCTGGATTTATGAGATTCTCCAATTAAAAGACATTTCTAAAATTCTATTAAATTTTTTTGATCTCAAGAACATTGAGAGTTGCAAATTTTTTTCATACTACCTCCCCCAAATAAACAAGCTGGGTGAATTCCTGTGATGTTAGGCTGCCGAAGAATTTTTAGAGGTTTTATGACATGTTTACGTTTTATGCCCTATCCACTCAAAAATGACAGACTCCAGAGATCACCGAGCAGAATTCTTCTGTGGGAGTGAGATCCTGTTCCTAATCCCTAATCCAGACTCCTCACTGCCATTCAAAACACTTAGGGATTATATAGGAATAAGTTTTAAATGAACATAACAGGCAATCTATAGTGTTTTAAAATCAATACTATAAAAATTGTCATGTCATGTAAATTGCCTTAAAATATATTATACATATAAAATACTATGTTAAAATTAAATGTAATATGTCAGCTGTAAAGGTGAAAACGTAGCTAACTAAAAAGTTCACAAATACTCTTTTTTCAGATTTCGTGTGTTTTCTCCTCAGCCAAAAGCCTCAAGATTCACTTGCAGCAGACTACCTCTTCATTTATGTTGGATTGCTCTTTAAACATTAGAATATCTTGTGATAAACAATAAGTTAAAGATTTCTCCTGACACAAGTCATTGTTGATTTCACTGTTATAGGGAAAAGGCTCTAGGGCGGCAGATAAGGCTGTTGCCATGGTGATGAAGGAGATACCGAGGGAGGAGTCTGCTGAAGAAAAGCCCCTCCTTACTATGACATCACAGGTGGGCAGACCCTTAGGGTTCCTGTAGGAAGCTGACATATGTTAATATATCAGATATTGTGATTCTTAACTAGAAAAAAAAAACATTAACTCGATGCAATTTTTTTAAAAACACAGTTTCAATGAAACAATTATACAATATAAAATGAAAACCAAAATTGCTAAAAAAAAAAAAAGGAAAATTCCATCATTTAGTTACTTATTCGTGGATATTAATTTTCATTACTAAACTTTAGTTAAAAAAAGAAAAAGAAAATATATATGCAAGTAAAACATGTCGCTTCTTTATAAAGGAGTCTTGTTAACAACTTTGGGAAAGAAATAACAATTAAGCTAACGGTACATTTGAACAACAAGCAAAAAACAAAAAATCAAATTCCTATGAATAAATACAACTTATATTGCATACATATGTCAGTTTACCAGTAGAAAATCTAAAATTTCTTAAATGTTAAATATATTTATGTTGTGACTATGCATACTACGTATGTCTATACATATTTATGTGGATAACTAATTTACAGGAATGAGCCAGAAGTCCCTGAGTCTCCATGCAGAAAATGGCATTTGTGGCCCCTCTTCTACTTAGTGACCTTGACAACAAAAATATCGTCTGTATTAAAAGTACATGAGGGGCATTTTCAGTGTTTATTATAATAAGTATAGAAAAAGATTTGCATTTGTATGCAAAAACACACTGAGAATGAATCCTGTATGTCCTCAGGGACTTTTGAAACACCCTGTAAAATCCACATACATATGTATGTATAATATACTCATCACCACTCTGTGGAACTATCAGTTTTAAATTCTTAAATGCAAAATTACTTACTTGCATTTATCTTATAATTTAGATTAGATTGTTATCTTAAACATTTCTTTTTTTTCTCCATAATGCAATAGTAAATACAGTGATTCAGTTCCAATTATATGAACATGTCTAGATTTAGAAAAATGTCCATTTAAATTCCTCATGAAAGGCATTTATATCAAAAGCTAAATTATGGCAACTTATTTTTAGAATATCATCAGATCACATCCCCAGCTGCTGCCAACATGTGTGGTTTCATTTCATTCTAAACACTATGCTGTAAGTAATGAAAATTATAATAACATATAACATCAAAATTGAATAATAAAAAAGTTATAAAGATTCCCAAGACTTTGGGATAATCTTATGTTGTGAGGTTTTTGTTTTTGTTTTTGTTTTTGTTTTAATCCAAAAGAGGAGATGCTTCTTCCCAATGACACATTGTAATAGTTGGAAAGAAATTTGCTTAATATTTACCAAGGCCTCCATTCTTTACTTAGTTTACATAATAAAACATATACAGTTTTACACTGATCTCCTGCCTTTGTAGAATCCATATCCAAAATATACAGTCCACAGTTCCTCAGGCGAATGTTATGGGAGGTGAGAACCACTTGGAGTTCTCGGCTAATGGTAGAGCCATATTCATCAGTAGGTGAGACCTATCCAAATTTGCAATTGGCATAGTTGTGCTGCAGCATATCATTTCAGGACATCACGATTTAGGACAGGGTCTAGTGCCCAAAATTCTTTTTCTTCAAAACCATGCCTTGCTATGTGCTTTCCAGTAATCCTTTTCAAGTGTCCAAAATTACCACTATAACCTAAATTTTAATTTAAATTTAATGCAAAATAAGAATTTTGATTTTTTTAATTAGAAAAGAAACTGTAATTATTACCATTTTCTCATATTCAGAACATTTGTGTGTACCGAGTTCCTTCTTTAATCCCTGTCTAATGTTGCATTAACTGTTTTTGAGGTAATAGTTACAATTTTACTGCATGAAGATGATACAGTGCTTTCTTTGATGCATCATATTCTTGTTGCATAGTGACTAGTTTATGAATCAGCAAATGGAGAGTTCTGATTCATAAAATGCAATGCACCTATTGTGTTGATAATCTTATGGAATTAATCCTGTGACAGCTGTGATACAATTATTTCTCAGTCAAATGTGGTTTTATTAGTTGATATACTTTTTCCACTACACACAAGTGGCTTCTTCCCTGCTATGCACCAGTGGCATGCACAAGCCAAAAAGCAGCAGAATGATCTGAAAAAGTGAGTACTTCTCATGGCAACCACAGCATCCAATCTGTGTACCATACCACATTCTTACTCGTTATCTTGTGTGAATGTATTAAGTGTCTTGAAACATGTCTGTCCCATGTCTCCTGTAAAGCCCCTGAGACATAGTGCTACATACTGCAGGACACATTGACTCATCTTCATCACTGGTGTGTCGATGCCAGCTGCTCATTCACAGATTCCAGAAATGTCTGAAGCTAATTGCCGCTCTCTCAATAATGTCTTCAGGACAATCATAATTGATAAAATACAGAATAAGTCCTTGAAACACTGAGTCCCTAATTTGTTTAGTAACTGTTCATTACACAGATTGGTAAGTGTAGAATAGTTTATATTGAAGCATTTTTGTATTATGTGAATATTAGGATCATTTTTAGAGAGATTTAGCCAAGCATACTCCAGTCAAGTTATTTATAGTACCTTGAACAAATTGAACAAAACAGAAGAGTTGGCCAGGTGACCTGAACTCAGAAATTGTTGGACCCCTGAGAATTGCTCTTTTTGTTTCATTTAATTATTAATTCTTTGCTAAACAATGTGTCAAGCTCTTCATAGTAGTTCAAGTTCATGCTGTCCTAGACTAACACTTTAAGTCAAACTTTAAGTCAAACAGTATGGAAACAAATGTGCACTGATGAGAGTTTTGAAGGGAAAAAATATGTGAACCATCAAGTCTTGGAGGAAGTAAGAGTTTCTCTAGACCTGTGCTGTTCACTACAGTAGCCGCTAGCCACACGTGGCTATTGAGTGTTTTGTGGATACCCCGAATTGAGCTATGCTGTAAGTATAAAATACACACCAAGTTTTGAAGATTTAGTCCAAAGAAAAATAATGTAAACTATCACATTAATAATTTTTATATTGATTACATGTTGAAATGATAATATTTTGGATATTTTGGGCTAAATAAAATGTGTTACTAAAATTATTTTCACCTGTTTCTTTTCACTATTTTTAAAGTGGCTACTAGAAAATTTAAAATTACCAGGCTCTCGTTATATTTCCATTGAACAGTACTACTCTAGACTGTAATGGTATAAATAAATCCAGTTTGAGGCTAGAGGGGAAAACTATGTGCCAGAAGATTGAGCATATCATAGAAAAATTTTTATTCTTCTTTATGAGAATGAAATGGCTTTAGGGAATATTTTTCTCTCATAAGGAGCCTTCAGAAATTTTCATTTTAACCACCTCCCCTGGTACTTTTGTAAGTAAGGAATAGCCCATTCATTTTTTGCTGTAGAGCACAGTGTCTTAAAACTATGTGTTCCAGACCTCTTCTTGTCAAGGGAATTTTTTTTTTAACTCAGGCTTTGTTTTTCTATCTGTCCCCACCCCTTATAGTTTGATACTGATTTAATATTGTGTCTGATAAAGATAAAAAAGTAATGTCCTTGATTGGAAAAACATTCACAAGGCTGCTAAATACAGTCTTGTTTGGGTTTTCTGTTACTAACTTGAAACAATTGCTTTAATTATATTCTCCTTCCTGCCTTGATGTTAGTACTATCCAAGCTGTAAACAATAATATTTGTTCATTTCCCCATGAATAAATTCACATTTTTATGTCTAACTATCCTGTCAGGAAAATATTTGTTGTCACTTGGTTGACATTTAGATCAAGTCAAAGAGTTGACAATTATCACATGGTTATCCTTTACAGGAAGATCCACTGAGACCCATATAAAGAACTGGGGGATGGGGCAGTGCCATTAGTACTATTAGCTCATAAGAAATTAATTCAGTCGGGTGGCAGAATTACCATGACAAAGCCTTCAAAGGCTGAATACTAAGGGGTGCATAGTAATGTTTCAGTTGTTTCCTCTTTTCAATGGATTGAGTCAGTCAACTTAGTTTTAATATGGTGACTATTTTGATGGGCTTTGCACACGTTTCTAAACTTGGATAGGACTAATAAAGCCATAAACAGTTTAATTATAAAATTATGAATGAAAACCTACTTAACCAATGACATATATTGTACTTTTAATCAAGAGAGTGCAAATAATAAAGGAATTTTCAAAATGCATAAAGATATGTCTATTGAAAGCATATTTGTGTTTTTATTTATATAAAAACAATCTTAATTTTTCTATTATTTAGATGAGATCAAAAGGCTGGTATATTTTTACAAACTTTTTAATCAACATTACAAATATGAGATATTTGTCAACTGTTTTTTAGCTTCAGTGTTTTAACTTTTAAAATTATTCTTTAAGTACTAAAATGTTTCAAAATAAAAACAGAATATTTTACTTTAAACTAAAACAATAGATTGAGATCATCAATCTGAAGTGTAAAATTATAGAATAATGAGTTATTATCCTATACAGACCTTGTTTTCTCACCTAAAATGTATTTTGGTTTGGAGTTAATTCTTAGTGATATAAGCTATCACAAACGTTAGCTCTATATTTTTTAATGAAACACCTAAGCAATATATTATTTAAAGATAAATAAATTTAAACTTAAGTCACAAAAAAGCTATCTTTAATGCACTGGAGCTTAAGTAGCAGGCAGTATTTAAAAACAAAATACTCTCCTTTCATCTTGGTTAAATATTCAGCTTAGATCATATAATAATTTAATTTTTTAACATTTAAATTCAGGAAATTCAAGTTGAACTAAGGCAAATGTATTTTTAGACAAAGTTTTAAAACAGACAATAATTCATTAAAGGTGGATGATATTGTCTGCATTCTGCTCAACACTAAACACAGTATTGATATAAAATAAGAAGCAATTTTGTCCTGTGGTGGCTACTATTAGCCACATCAACTGACTGGTCTAAGTCATAAGTAAATTGAAGGCATTTGACTGAATATTTCATTTACAACCTATGATTACAAGGAAGGTGTAAAGGATCAATAGTCTTGAATTCTGAGTGACAAGAAGCTCCTACATGCGAGTTCTCACCTGTCTTCTTACTTCGGCTACTTCCTTTCGTTTCCATGTCCATTGACTGTGTAAGGGCTTTCTCTCAGAATCTCCAAATTTGAATCTCTGATTTAAAATCTCTGAGTGAGGTAGTGGTGTTATTTCTTGAAGTACCACTGGCTTCCCGCTTGCATTGGTCCATGTCCTGCTTCCAAAGATGGAATGAGGCAGGTCCATGCCTTTATTTCAATTTTTCTCCTTAGTCATTCATTCTTGGCATTTTTGACTTCTTGGTAGAAGCCTTGCATTTGGAAATGTTCCTTTAGATACCTCTAGGTTTCCAAGCATTTCAATGATGTGACAGTGGGGGAAAGTGGACTTAGATTTGTGGTTTAAGATTTGCCAGGAATTTAGTAAACATTTCTGAGGACTACTGGCCTCTCTATGAGTTGATCAAACCCCATATGAAATTGAGGATGCCCATGCAATCATTCTTTTATACAATTCACCATTCAATTGGACTGTATAAAATCAGTCAACATTTATTAAACTGCCACTATGAGATACAAAAATTAATTGGATAAGGTCTCTACCTTCAAAGAGATCATAGTCTAGTGGGAGGAAACAGGTGAAACTAAGGTTATAAAATTAGGTAAAGCATGGGAACGCGGAGATGTTGTAAGAAGGCACTTGCTGCCTAGAGCTGAAGAAGGTTCCCAGACAATGTATCAATAGAACGGGGTCCTGAAAGAGAAATAAGAATCTGTCACCATTAGAAAGGCCTTTGAACTAATCTAAATATTGAGAAGAGGACAAAGAAGGATAATAAAGGAAAATTTTAAATGTAAAGTTGAAATAAAGGCCTTAGCAACTAATGAAGTGGGTCATTTTCACTTAGTTAAGTTCATCTGATTGGACCAAAATTGCAATCACTCCCACTCAGTTATTCAAAAAAAAAAAAAAATTGGAAACCTTTTGACTCACCTTTTATTATTTTTATAACATCAATGTACTCTGTGCCAGAAGGATGAAATGAGGTAAGTTCATAAAGTATTCTCAAACTGAAGGAAGTAATTCTAAGAGGAAGTGAATAAGCTCTATCCTACCAATGAATAAAGACAGAATAAATGGCATACAATTTGGGAGTAAAGCTTAGGGGAACTATTTGGGGGATTCAGTTCAGTTTGCAATATTACTTTATGACCTAAAAGGTTTGCTTATTCTCAAGTCACCATAGGAAAACCATAAATTTGTTTGAAAATCAGGAAGGAAGCATGTGAAAAGCCATTCTTATCTATACAAGCAAAAATAAAATGGGACTTAGTAGGGCTAAAATAATGATTCTTAAATTCATCTGACTGAAGATACAGTTCAAAATTGGACTGTTTGAGATAGATATTTTTATATCTTCAGTTTCTGCAAAGTCACTGTCCCATTTGGTAGCCATTTACTGAGCCCCTTTTATATGAAGACATTCTATTAGAAGTTGTGAAGGATATAAATATGAGTAAGATATAGCCTCTTACCTCAGAGTTAATAACAAAAGATTTTTTTCCATGATATCTCCTATTTCATCTTCCATATCTCAGTCAAAACCCAAAAACCTTCAGTTCCCAAATTACCTTTCCATGCCCTCTGAAATCTGGCCTTTCATCCTCTTCACCCTTGAGCCCTGCCACTATCCCCACTCCAATCTCAGCATTTACCGACAGCTAAATGGTGCTCTAGCTTGAAAAGCACAGACTCAGAAAGTAATGTGAAGTTTCCTCTTTGATTTGTATCTATGGAAGAATGTCACAGGAACAGCTCAGTTATGGGAATGGGACAGACATGTTATGGGAACAACTCCAGTCCAGGGGTGAAGTGTGGTCACAAATAAGACAGTAGGTGTGGAAAAGACCTTATGAGGAGAAGCCACACCTTAGTCTTGGGCTCTCTAGGGTCTCTCTGAATAACCTCCTCTTTGGTATTCTTTTCTTCCTATGCTGAGAAAATCTGAGTGCCAGAAGTGCTTTCCCTAGAAAATAAGTCTTTAGTTTGAATGAGGAGAGAGACTCAAAAAACAAAAAATCCTATTACCTCTGATAAAGCAGACTTGCCTAAAAGGATAGGCCTTTCAATTAATTGTGGCTGTCCTTTATTTTTCCATTTAGATATTTACGTAGAAATGTCTTACTTTCTAGAGTTATTTTACCAAATTTAGACTAATTTTTCAGTGTTTGCAATTAAAAATATCTACAGAAATCTAATACCCTGGTCTTCTAAAACCATAGGTAATCTAGGTCTATTCTACACACCTACTCACAGAGCTATGATTTGGAAATAAATTATTAGTCCTTCTATTTAAAAAGGAATTTAACTGTATCCAAAGTAAAGAAAAAGTATAAGGGGGTTTTGTGGAATATAAATCATAGGTACCTTTTACATAATAATGGATATTTCTCAAGACCAGGACTAAGAGAATAAATTTTCTTAGTTATCTATCAATAACATCAGACTTCTTCAGAGAAATAATGGCTAACAAAAAGAGTTATGACATCACACATATGTCATACGTATTTTAAAGTTGAAGTTGTATTGGTTGTATTGAGTTTTTGCACCTTTTTCACTTTAGCCTAGGTCAGTAAGACCTAGTAGTCAGAATGCACAACGTAATAAATGTAAGCCTGTTACAATAAATTCTATGAGTATAGTGTGGTGCCATATTTGATGGTGACCTTCATCTTCCATGATGTTTATAGCACAGCAGAATCCAGCTCTCCCTTGACAGCCGTGAGAATGACACAGCCTGGAGGTAGACATTGTTGCTACATCAAGACCACATCACCATGGTGATATCATACTAGATGGGTTCAATATGCTAAGCATATATGGCTAAAAGGGCAAGTTCTCCCAAGAAATACACATAATGTATGAGTCTTTAAGAAATTGCATAAACACAGTTTTTACATGAGCTACCTATAAATGAAAAACAGATCCCGGAAAACTAATCACATTTTCAGAAGAGCTGGCATAAACCATGGCATTTACAAAAATTCTAATATATTTTATCCCCCAAACATGAAAAGCTCATAGTCCCTCAACATTAAAAAATATTTCAATATAAATAGGATGGGTGATACCCAAGAATGTTCAAATTCAGAAAACAAAATGCAAAGAAACTCAAGAGTTTTGTTCATGGATTAAAGGAGCATCCCCCAAAAAAGGTTACAACCAAAACAGACCTCAGATAATTTAGAGAAATCTGTGAGTCTTTATACATAGTAACACTAAAACTTATAATTGAAAATTTTTCTGTCTCTATAACTTGAACATTAAAAGAAAATGAGCATTCTTAATGCTTAGAACCCTCGATAACATGTACAAATTAATATGAGTGAAATTAAATTGCCAACTCTATCTCAAAATCTTAGACTTCAGTGAAGATCTGAGATTTATCCATGTTAAGATAATAGCATGAATATGTAAAAGCACCAAAGGTGCCTCTTGGTTTTCAGTCCCCGAATAATCACTAATGCTTCCATATTCCTCCTTCACCAATAATAGAATTGCATTTTTTCTTCCCATATTTACCATTATTTAGGTCTCTTGTCAGCGTCCATAAGCTCTAAGCTATAATACCACTAACATTGCCAGAGAAATAATGAAGTGAAAGTGAGTCATAGAAAATATTTTGATTTGGTAATACTTCAAAACATTTCATTTGTTATTTTATGTGTCTCTTAAAATACAGCCTTGCAAATAAGTATTTTAAAATCTAGAGTTTTTTGGCACATCTTTTTCCTATAGCAAGTAGAAAACTAGATGACTATGCCCATTTTAAGAAAGGCCAATATAAAAACTCCCAAAAAACTAAGACAGTTCTTTTAGGGACTAACCACTTGTGTTATCTTAAGTGTAATTTTCCCCTTACCCTTAGAAACAGAACTTAAGGATGTTTGTATTCAAAGAGGTGAGAATAACTGAAAGTAAATAGTTGGCTGCCACTGATAATGAGAACTAATAAAAATCAAACTGAAAGATTTCTGAAGTTAGAGAACAAGCCAATGGGGAAATATAATTGAATTGACAGAAATCTCTTTTACATACAGATTTTCACAAACATATATACTGGATACCTGTACAGTTAACATAACAATATTTCCTACTCTCTCAAAATACTTGTTATGCACTACAAAAGCATTCCAAGGAAATGTAAGGAAGGGCGTGTGCCTTTAGGTGACTTGAGCTTTTTAAGAGAGAGAGAAAAAGAGCATTTATCCACGCACACGGATCTCTGTGTGTGCGTGCTGTTACTACATATCAATGACTGACCAGTCCTAAACAGAATGTGTCACCTCAGGGTCTGAAGCCATGGTTCCAGGTCTCAGTGAGAGCTTTTTGTCCAGATGAAGAGTGAGATTGGCCCTTAGGAACTGTGATTCAATAGGTGTCATATTCTACATACTGAAATTAGAGAATAATTCCAAAAGTGTTCTAGGAGAAAAAAGGCTTGAGGTTTGAAAACTGAAGTTGGCTGCATCAAAAATATGACAGTGCTGAAAGGCTCATTCCCCATCCCCTGATTTTTTTTTCTTTCTTGCCTCTACCCCATTACTTATTGATTGATTTATTTTTTGGTAGGTTTGCTATTCTCGTTTTGTTGCAAGGCTGCATTTTAATTCATCTGATTCTGCAGTTGGACAAAGTCCTTTGACACCTGTGTTCATTTGTTCCCAGCTGGTGAATGAACAGCAAGAAAGCAGACCCCTCCTGAGTCCCTCCATCGATGATTTTCTCTGTGAAACCAAATCGGAGGCAATAGCAAGGCCAGTAACGTCCAACACAGCCGGTAATTCTTTCACTTTTAACTTATCCTCAAGTGGAGTTAATGTTCATGACAGAAAAATGCACATTTTCTTTCCACAATGCATTTTAAGTGGAGAATAATGTTTGCAAACAAATGAAATTTTAGAATATATACTGTTCAATATAAACCAATAATTGCTTTTCTTTATAATATAAGAAACTCCAATGGATATTATCCAACCAATTTTGAAAACATTAGAGTACCACTATCAGCAATGAATCATTTTTCAATGCCAATTTTCATATTTACATCTTCTCATCTCAAGTCACATCATATAGGAATTCTTTAAAACAAAAGCATCTCTTTCAGAGTAACGTTTTTCAAGTTCTGGCTGGAAATATTTTGTATGACAAAAGTCCAGTAAAATAAAAATATAGGCAACCCCTTCAAGTGGATTGAAATCACAATGAAAGTGTCCTAGAGACTTGGGACATTATCGAGGCAATTTTATTTTTTTGTCATATAAATGGATTAGTTGCTCCTTCTTACAACAATTTATTTGAACATTGTTCTGGAATTAAATATAATCAAACACTAAGCTATCTGTATAGGAACTAATAAGTTGTCATCCAATGAGTGAATGCAGGATGCCAGTGTATCAATCACACCTTCTCCAGCATCCTCTGCACTTAAATTCTCACTAATTCGAAAACTAAGTCACTTAGGTACAGCCCACTCTGAGACCACAACGGAAGATTTGACTCAAAAGCTACTTGTCACCTTCTGGATCAGCGGCAGCCTTTCTGCATTGGTTTCATTCAGTCAACATTCACACTCAAAGGCATGTTGTTCAAATAAGAATGAAAGGATGATGTCCAGAATCAAACAACAAAGGTTATATTGGATTGCAGGAGAGAATTTAATGGGGGAAGGAGAGGATAATTATATACTGTCTTGTTAAAGTTCATTTCATTTCCCCATGATGTCCTCAGCCTGCTGCTTCTTGGCATAGTTTTATTATACTTTTAAGTGAAGAAAATCACAGGTGAAGGAAATTGTGATTTTTAAGAAATGCTAAAAATTACAACAATAAGAGTACCTAACACAAGATAGAGGCACTTTGTGTGGGAGTGTAGTCTACAGTCTCTGGAGTTAAGCTTTGTGAATTCCAACCCCAGCTCTGCCACTTAGCAACTCTGTGTCCTTGAGCAAGTTGCATAAGTAAGTCTATTTCCTCATCTGTCTAATAGTAGTAAGATCTATATCTCATAGGTTACTTGGGAAGATTAAATGAAGCAATCTATGTAAGTGCTAACACCATGTAAGCTCTAACAGATGTTACCATTACTGTAAGATACCAGGTGAAAACAGTACACCCAACACTTCCCTTTTCAAATGCGTTAACTTTCTTTATATCACACCAAAGCAATCATTTTCTAAATTCAGCTACCGCTTTGAGTAATCAAGCAAATAAAATTGTACTTGGTACATTTTAGGCAGGAAATGAAACAAGTTCAGATCCTGTCAGATCAGTTTCATCCTCCTTACCTATGAAACTGGAGCTCACCCCTCCAAAACTGAGCTACCCTCAGAAAAATACAGAGGAGCCTTGTGTCTCTAATTGCAGGAAAATCCATGAAAATGGGGTACACTGAGAAATTCCCACTGTTCTAAGAAAAAGCTGCAAAGCATAATTCTCAGATCTTGATTCCAGTACCCTCTACAACTCTCAGGAAGGATAGAACTGAGTCACATAGGAAGGGCTCACCAGAGAGAGCAACATAATATCCAACTCAAAAGCTGCTTTTCACCTTGATTTTTCTAGCATATAACAGAGAGACCTGTGAAGTACTGGAGGAAATTACATATTCAAAAGAATATGTAATTTCTTGCAATCCCAGTACCTACAGTATTGCCTTCTGTATTAGTTTCCTAGGCCTGCCATGACAAAATGCCACAAAATGAGTGGATTAGACAACAGAGATTTATTGCCTCACAATTCTAGAAGCTAGAAGTCCAAAATCAAGGTGTCAGCAGGACTATGCTTCCTCTGAAGGTGCTTGGGGAGGATCTGTTCCAGGCCTCTCTCCTGGTTTCTAGTAGCTCCCTGACTTGTGGAAGCATAACTCTAATCTTCACATGACATGTGTGCATGTCTCCCAGTGTGCATGTCAGTCTCTGTGTCCAAATTTCCTCTCTTTATTACCACCCTACTCCAATCTGACCCATCTTAACTAATTACATCTCCATTGACCCTATTACTAAATAAAGTTACATTCTGAGGTACTGGGGGTTAAAACTTCAACATATGAGTTTGGGGGGGACACATTTCAATCCATAACACCCTCCAAAGTAAGAGGTCAGGAAAAATGGTATGTTGAGACTATGGGCTTTTCATTTCTTGGCCTCAGCATTCAGTGCATCTGGGTCACACAGATTTTTATCTTTAAGGAAGACTCTCATTTGATAGTATGTTTTTTTTAATCTTAAAAATATATGTCTGGGGGGGCTTCCCTGGTGGTGCAGTGGTTAAGAATCCACCTGCCAATGCAGGGGACACGGGTTCAAACCCTGGTCCAGGAAGATCCCACATGCCGTGGAGCAACTAAGCCCGTGTGCCACAACTACTGAGCCCACGTGCCTAGAGCCCGTGCTCCGCAACAAGAGAAGCCACTGCAATGAGAAGCCTGCACACTGCAACGAAAAGTAGCCTCCACTCACCACAACTAGAGAAAGCCCATGCGCAGCAACAAAGACCCAACGCAGCCAAAAATAAATAAATTATATATATATAAAATGTCAGGGGGACCCTCAAGATGGCAGAGGAGTAAGACGTAGAGATCACCTTCCTCCCCACAAATACATCAAAAATACATCTACATATGGAACAACTCCTAAAGAACACCTACTGAATGCTGGCAGAAGACCTCAGACCTCCCAAAAGGCAAGAAACTCCCCGCATACCTGGGTAGGGAAAAAGAAAAAAGAAAACACAGAGACAAAAGAATAGGGACGGGACCTGCACCTCTGGGAGGGAGCTGTGAAGGAGGAAAGGTTTCCACACATTAGGAAGCCCCTTCACTGGCAGAGCCGGGGTTGGGCAGGGGGGAAGCTTTGGAGCCATGGAGGAGAGCACAGCAACAGGGGCGCGGAGGGCAAAGCGGAGAGATTCCCGCACAGAGGATCGGCGCCGACCGGCGCTCACCAGCCCGAGAGGCTTGTCTGCTCACCTGCCAGGGCGGGCGGGGGCTGGAAGCTGAGGCTCGGGCTTTGGAGGTCAGATCCCAGGGAGAGGACTGGGGTTGGCTGCGTGAACGCAGCCTGAAGGGGCTTAGTGTGCCACAGCTAGCTGGGAGGGAGTCTGTGGAGAAAGTCTGGAACTGCCCAAGAGGAAAGAGACCATTGTTTCGGGCTGTGCGAGGAGAGGGGATTCAGAGCACCACCTAAACAAGCTCCAGAGACGGGCGTGAGCTGCAGCTATCAGCGTGGACACCAGAGACGGGCATGAAATGCTAAGGCTGCTGCTACAGCCACCAAGAAGCCTATGTGCAAGCACAGGTCACAATCCACACCGCCCCTCCCGGGAGCCTGTGCAGCCCACCACTGCCAGAGTCCTGTGATCCAGGGACAACTTCCCCAGGAGAACACACGGCGCGCCTCAGGCTGTTGCAACATCACACCAGCCTCTGACAATGCAGGCTTGCGCCACATTCTGTACCCCTCCATACCCCCAGCCTGAATGAGCCAGAGCCCCCTAATCAGCTTCTACCTAACCCCATCCTATGTGAGTGAAGAACAGACACCCTGAGGAGACCTACATGCATAGGCAGGGCCAGATCCAAAGCTGAACCCCGGAGCTGTGGAAACAAAGAAGAGACAGGGAAATCTCTCCCAGCAGCCTCAGGAGCAGTGGATTAAATCTCCACAATCAACCTGATGTACCCTGCATCTGTGGAATTTCTGAATAGACAACGAATCATCCCAAAATTGAGGCAGTATACTTTGGGAACATCTGTAGGCTTGGGGTTTGCTTTCTGCATCTAATTTGTTTCTGGTTTTATGTTTATCTTAGTTTAGTACTTAGAGCTTATTATCATTGGTAAATTTGTTTATTGATTTCATTGCTCTCTTCCCTTTTTTTTTTAATATATGTATTTTTTTCCTTTTTCTCTTTTTGTGAGGGTGTATGTATATGCTTCTTTGTGTGATTTTGTCTGTATAGCTTTGCTTTTACCATTTGTCCTAGGGTTCTGTCAGTCTGTTATTTTTTTAATTTTTTTTTTTAGTATACTTTTTAGCACTTGCTTTCATTGGTGGATTTTTTATTGGTTTGGTTGCTCTCTTCTTTCTTTCTTTTTTAATTACTCTTTTATATTTAACATTTTTTTATTTTAATAACGTTATTTTATTTTATTTTTTTCTTTCTTTTTCTTCTCCCTTTTCTTCTGAGCCATGAAGGGTCTGACAGGGTCTTGGTGCTCCAGCTGGGTGTCAGGCCTGAGTCTCTGAGGTGGGAGAGCTGAGTTCAGGACATAGGTCCACAAGAGACCTCCCAGCTCCACGTAATATCAAATGGCAAAAGCTCTCGCAGAGATCTCCATCTCAGCGATAAGACTCAGCTCCACTCAACGACCAGCAACCTACAGCGCTGGACACCCCATGCCAAACAACTAGCAAGGCAGGAACAAAACCCCACCCATTAGCAGAGAGGCTGCCTAAAATCATAATAAGTTCACAGACACCCCAAAACACACCACCGGATGTGGTCCGGCCAACCAGAAAGACAAGATCCAACCTCATCCACCAGAACACAGGCACAAGTCCCCTCCACCAGGAAGCCTACACAACCCACTGAGACAACCTTACCCACTGGGGGCAGACAACAAAGACAATGGGAACTACAAACCTGCAGCCTGCGAAAAGGAGATCCCAAATGCAGTAAGTTAAGCAAAATAAGAAGACAGACAAATACACAGCAGATGAAGGAGCAAGGTAAAAACCCACCAGACCAAACAAATGAAGAGGAAATAGGCAGTCTACCT